TTGTGTATGCTGTTCAGTGTCAGGAGGGCTGTGATCAGTCTTACATCGGGGAAACTAAACAGCCACTGGCCAAAAGGATGGCCCAGCACAGAAGATCAACATCATCAGGCCAGGACTCTGCGGTCTACACTCATCTCCAGGCCAGCAGTCACTCTTTCAGGGATGAAGATGTGCACATCCTGGATAGAGAGGAACGATGGTTTGAGAGAGGAGTAAAGGAGGCCATCTTTGTGAAAAGAAATCGCCCATCATTAAACAGGGGTGGAGGCCTCCGAGTTCAACTGTCCCCCTCCTATAATGCTGTGATTGCTAGTATCACTCAGCCCTCTGTGAATAGTAAACAGCCGTAAGTGTGCTAATGATCCATTGTTAGGCTGATGGTCCTTCTTGTCCATGTGAGCAGCTGGTTTTGGTTGTCAGCAGCAAAACTGGTTGGTCCACTATGAGAAGGTGCTTTTTAAGAGAATGAGCTGAATACAGCACCTCAGACTGAAGAAGTCTCTCGGATGAGAGACGAAACTTTTCTACATTTTTTTGTTTTTTTGCTTTGTTTTGGTTTTTTTGAATGTCCAGAGGACCAGATTTAACTTTTTTTGATTGTTCTACCTGGATTATTGAGCATGCATCAGGATAATTTCAATGTACTTCTTTTGGATTTTTCCATTATTTCTTTTTTCCCTTTATTTTTCTTCAACTTTACCTTGTATTTATTCTTCGCTGTTTTTTTGCAGGTGTCCACCTGGTCACATAATCCGTGTGAATGGGACCAGAAAGTCCTGTGTTTATACCTTGTGTGCTACACGGCCTTGTCACCGTGGGACCTGTGTCGCCCAGTCACCCTCCAAATTCACCTGCCACTGCCCTGAGGGTTACAGAGGACAGCACTGTGAGACAACCCTGGCAATTTACAGGGAGGAGGTGGGCCTGAGCTTCAGCTCCCTCTTTGCCATCTGCATCTGCTTCATGGCATTATTGGGTAAATATTATTGTTGCTACAGGCTACTTGAATTTGTCTTTTTTTTTATGATTTTGCATCTACAACAATGACGAGCAGTCTCATATTTTTTGTGATACTGTTTTAATTAAGTATATTAAATGCAACATAACTAGTCACTTATATTGTTCAATTTGCTGGTGTTTTATTCAATGTATCTCATTAATGTCAGCCAAAGACATTTTAAAAATATATTAACCTACTCGCACAACCACTCTTCACTCTGCATTCTTAAAAAAATCACACATATGACCCATGCTGACTAAATGAGTCAACATGTTCACATGAAGCAGTGTAAAAAAAAAAGTGAAATATAAATATATTATTTTATGTAATTAAGATTTGCTTTAAAATGTGTCCATGAAGAAACCATCTAGGAATCCAACTAACTAAAATAGTAAATAGTCTCCCTAATTTACTTGTTAAAGTAGAAAAGAAAAACATCTTTATAATATTAACTATATTAAATACTTTAAAAACTGTCCATTTTTTCCTCTGCCGGCTACCATAGCACTGGGAAATTGCTTCATATGGTGTTTGGTACCATTGTCAAGTTTGGGGATTCCTTGAATTCTTGAAGACATCACTCCAGACCCAAAGTAATACGTTTTCAAACCATCATTCTTGTAAACAATTCTAACATGTTGCTAGCCAGGTGATAAATCACCAAATTTCAACAAACTATAATTTTGATGGTTTTGAGATGGAAAATTAAAAAATAATAAATAATTACTCAATTTTGAAAAAAGTCCTTTACGTGACTTCTTTTTTTTTTTTTTTGCCAACACAGGTCACATATACAGAATCAGAATCAGAATCAGAATGCCTTTATTGTCATTATACGCAGTACAATGAAATTAAGAGCCACTCCTTTTTCCAGTGCAAAAACACGCCTTAAGAAAACACACATTAAACACACTAAAAATATAAAAAATGTAACGCAATATAGATATAATAAAGTAAAAGAAAGTAAAAAAATACAAGTATTACACAATTGTATTGCACATTATGGATATTAGTGAGGTAGTTAAGGTGATTGAGAGTATGAAATGTCAGTAGTATTGCACAGTAGAAGTCCAGGTGTTTGGGAGGTTAGATTATTAAATCAGTGCATGTGTGAGTTCAGTGTGGTGATGGCTTTCGGGAAAAACTGTTCTTGAACCTGTTTGTTCTTGTTCTGATGCACCTGTAGCGTTTCCCTGAAGGTAACAAGTCAAACAGTTCAAAACCCGGGTGTGAACAGTCCATGATTATGTTTTCTGCTCTGTTGAGGCAGCGTGATGTGTAAATGTCCATCAGGGAGGGGAGAGGGCAGCCAATGATCTTTTGTGCTGTCTTGACTACTCTCTGAAGCCTCTCCCTGTCAGCCAGGGTGCAGCTGCCGTACCATACTGAGATACAGTATGTCAGCAGGCTCTCGATGGACGAGTGGTAGAAGGTCAGCAGCAGTTTTGTGTTTAAGTTGTGCTTCTTAAGGACTCTTAAGAAGTGTAGTCTCTGCTGAGCCTTCTTGATGACCGCTGTGGTGTTCTCTTTCCAGTTTAGGTCAGCAGAGATATGGACACCAAGAAATCTGAAAGTGTGAACCCTCTCCACGCACTCGCCGTTGATGTAAAGGGGGGGCTAGTTTGGTGCTGTGCTTCCTGAAATCAATAATCACCTCCTTGGTTTTTTTGATATTCAGAGCCAGATTTTTCTCTGAGCACCAGTGTATTAAAGTAAAAATGTAATACTTGCAAGTTTTTGTGCTGGGGTTTTGGTAAAAATACACATTTCTAAATAAGGTTTCTAAATTGATTTATACACTTAAAGTTCATTCATAAATAAATATCAGTTGCAGGTAAATTGGGTTTTACCTGTAACTGTGACAGATGAGACTTTTCAGATAAAGTTAAACAACATCAGTATTGCTGATTTTGTTTTATACGAATGTTCTCTATTTTAAGATTTTTTATAAAACGGGGGTGAAAATGTCCATTTTTGCTGGTGTTTTTCATTCTGGTCTGGGGAAATGGATGAGGAGCTACATTGTATTTTAAATTCTCTGAGGTTCCTTGTCTTTGTAAGGCCTAAGGTTGTTCGCTTTGCTGCTGCAGCTGTGGAGCTGTTAGTTACTGAATTTAAAGATTTTTTTATTTATTTTTTATTATATATATATATATATATATATATATATATATATATATATATATAAGTTTTTATTTTTTTTTTTTTTTTTTTTTTTTAATTTTTTCAGTGAAAGCTTCAAAACTCAGCCTCAGGCCTACCAGGTTAAATAAATACAGTAAAACTGTGAAGCAACTTTGGCTTTTTTTTACAAACAAAAAGTATAAAGTTTTAAATAATGTCTTAAAAGTAAAATTGATTTAAATTATTCTGATTAGCTGCAACTTATATTTGAGTGGATAGTGCTGGCTTGTGTTATACATTAATATTTAAAGTCCTGATTTAAAATTTTAAAATTGCACATTGGTCTTCTGTATTTGGCAGTCATAATTGGCTGCAGACAGGGGATAGTCATTTTCCTGTCATATTTGTATTGGATGTATATCTACCTGAATAACCTTTGGAGTAAATTAAATTCAGTAGTGCTTCTTTGACTCGTCAATGTACGAAAACACAATATATGTCATGTTGACAAAAATTCCTTCAAGGACTGCCACTTTTAATGACATTGTTAAAATCCACTATGGATGACTGGTTTCCCTTTAATAACTGGACATTGTGTGTGAACATTCCTTACAGTCATCTGAGAGAAACTACAATGAACTAATAGTGAGTGTTGGGCAGAAAGGAAATGATTGGGTTAATATCTACAACTGTACCTTTGAGGACGCTGACTGAGAACTGTTTTCAGAGCACTTTTTTTCTGAAATATTGAAATTATTGCAAATAGTTCTCACAACCCTCATGACATTATCAGTTAGATACGTGGTTAACTGAAGGAGATTAATGTATTTATCTTCATTAATATGGGAAAGGAATGACTTGACGCACTGGTTGGGTTGTTTGTTCTTCAGGACTTTAACCTAAAAATTAACCAGAAAAATGGACATAAACCTGCATCTCATAAAAGACAGTGGTGTTTTTAAATAGACTGCTTCATACCTTTCTCAAGTGAACAATGGACAAATTTATATTTTCTTTCCCACCTGTACATTTTTCTTAATGCTGATTTTCAGTCATAATTGACCCAAAATAAAATGAAGTGACACTTGTTTCAGATACAGAACATTTTGTGGTAGAATCTATATTTGTACTCTGACATGTATTGCATGTTTGAGGTTGTTGCCATCAGGCCATTTTTTTATTTTATTTATTTTGCTTTTGTAAAATGGTTAGCATTATTGTCACAAAGGTTTGTACCTCTGATAAGAGCCTTCGGTTTTTAAAATATAATTAGTTTACCCTCATATTGCATGTGAAAGTCCTCCCAACACTTCCACCAGGCATGACTAGCTGCGGTGATAAATGTTTTATAACAGGTGAAATCAGTCAGCAAGGTGGCACCAATATGAAACACTTTTGGACCCCTGGGAACCACCTCACAGTAATTAATCATTTGAAGTAATTAACTTTTATTTATTTGTTCACACACTAGCAATACTGTGACAGTTAACAGTTCTTAGCATAACATTTAGCAGGTATTGTTTTAACGTCTGCTGCAATGTGCTTCCTCTATTCTATTAAGGATTCTTGGATGACATAAGGGAATGTGACTGTTCATACAATTATGTATGTTGATTGGCTGAGTAAATTAACTATTTCCCAGCATCCACACTAATAAAACTGCATTGTTAAAGTTATTTAACTGTCACTGTTGACTTAAAATAAATGATCTTTGAATGTGTGCATCATAAAGTAAATTGTTGTGTGACAGCTCCGGGGGTATAAATGACTGATGACGTGTTCTCTTTTCCACTGGAACATTGGATACCAACCGGTATTGTGACAGCTTGTTTGTCTTTTCTAAAACTTACAATTATACTCATCAGTTCTCTGTACTCCTAGTCTTGATTCCTGAAGCATCTTCTTGGACTTACCTGTTCTCCTTTGTATCTACAAACTGAGTACAGTCCTGGAACAACTGGTCCCACTTGCCTTCAGCCTATACCTGTCCTGCTGCTCACCTGCCTGCCAACCTGCATTCAACCTACCTGCCTACAATCCACTATAGTACCAGCTACTACTTACTCCATCATCTGCTGTACAATTATAAATTCCTTTGTAGTGAGACTCAAGTTGCCCACTTCTATGCACATTCATCCTACCTTCCATATTTACCAAATGAAACCCATCTCTGACAGTTCTTTGTGCCCACCTTCCAACATCCCTCCACCCCTCAGACTCAGACTTCTTTGTGTCCTTGTATTGATACCTGAAGCATCCTCTTGGACTTACCTGCTCTCTTCAATGTCTACAAACTGAGTCCAGTCTTGAAACTCCTGGTCCCACTTGCCTTCAGCCTAAGCTGGTCCTGAAGCTCACCTTCCTGCCAGCCTGCCTTCAACATGCCTGCCTCTAATCCTCTTTGATACCAACTATTACTTACCCTATCATCTACATATCTGCCATCATATATACCTGGAATCTCCTGCTCTTCTCTCTGCATCATTGGACCACACATAACCTGTAAGAAGAAGAATATTTAATTATATCCTAATCACTACATTACCCAGAAACCATACTTGTCTCCTTTGCAGACCTTCCCAGTGTCTCATGTAAATATCACTCTGTAAATAAATACCTTTTATCCTGAGTTACTTTCAGTTCCTCTGTTCTGGGTATTTATCATTGCAAGTATGATACTGAGAGAGTGCTTAATATTGTTGTGTCCAAAAGTACTTATGGAAATACGTTGTGCCAATCTCATTTTATCCCTGGGTCCCACCATTTCCCTCATTTTTTTTCTTACAAGTATAATGGGCCTTTATTTCTTTGTAGGGTTTACTATTATTAATTTAGTTTGCTGGGGCTGCAGT